TGTACAGATTTGAAAATAAGTGATGATTGTCTGTCCTATTATAGTTTGTCGACCAACTCGATAACTTAGCGTGATGATTTACTCCACCACCGGGACTTGCGAGGATGCATGACACATTCTAGCCTCGTGATGGAGGAAATGTGTGCGTGATTCGAGTTATGTGTGAATTGTGACGAGCTGCATGATAGGCAGAACCTTACATGTGTGGAGGTACCAGTGACCTGTTGGGACCGAGGGTCCATCAAGGAAAGACCGGGAGGGGTACTCGTCAATGTCCAGTGGTTGTAGTCAAGTCGAGGGCGAGACGACTTGGCAAAAGGAGACCGAAAATCGGAGGGGAGTACCCGAATCTCATATTGTGATGTCCTCTTTTGTACTCTCTTTCCTTCTAGTTGTTTGTTTTCGAATTCCGAGGACAGAAATCTTTTGTAAGGTGGGTAGACTGTAACGCCCTGTTTATTGGAGAATTATTTTGGAATTATTTATTATATTTATTATAGCTTATTTATTTTTATTATTACTGATTGTATAAATATTATTGATTACTTAAAGCCTAATTGCTACTATTATTGCTATTATTATTACTATTATTATTATTTGTCTAATTGTAATTAATTGCCCGAATGTGTATTTTATTCTTAATATTATTACTATATTTATTTTAAAATAACGTGTGTAATTAATAAATATTACCGGTTTTTTTAAATTGTCGTACGATCGAACCAACCGTAATCGTCGTAAGTTTTTAGAAATCAAGCCTGAGAGTCGGCCCGAGACCCGCGCGCGTAAGCTTATTTTCCGGTCCCTTAGTGGAATATTCTTGAGATAATTTTCCCAGCCTTTGGGATCAGATTTTTCAGGCTCACTAAGACTTAATCACCCCAATTAGCCGAGAAGTATCATTGTTTATCTTTAAACCCTCGACAATTTAAAGATATCTCACGCTGCAACAAAAATTTCTTTTCCCTCAAATCTGAACTTCTTCACGCTTCTTTCTCGCCACAGACCACCGTCCCTTCCACAATTGCTGCTCGTGTTCAAGCCGCGCCATCACGTTCATCATTCCATCACCATCTCGCCATCATCACCATGATCTCTGGAGGCCCGCAACACCACAGCAGCCGCTGCTCTACCGCCCCTGTTGTAAACCACGCCGCCGTTCAGTGGCGATTCGCCATCGCGCACAATCCAGCAGCAGCCTGGGGTCGCGAGGAGTCTCTTCCCGTGCCCATCCGCATAAGCCCGCCTGTTCGAGCCAGACCGGAAAGCTCCAATAACCAACATTACCGGGCGACCATGTGTCACAGCGGCTGAGTTCTTCTTGAGTTCAGGTGACGACCGGTCGAGGACAGCGGCGGGCTGAGGTGTTGTTCGAGGACCGAGCACTCGAGCAGCGGGTCCCGTCCTCGTCAATCCCACTGGCCACTTTCAGCTGCAGCCTTTCGGGCCCGTGCGAGAAGAGCAGCGGCACCCCGTTAGCCGCCCGTTTTCACAGCATCAGGTTGAAGTGGCCACGTGAACCAAGTAGCAACTCATTGGACCTTCGTTCGACAGCCGTTCGAGTTCTTCACCGAGCAACAGCGGCCCTCTTACGTTCGAACAGCAAGGTCGTGAGTGAGAGCAATGAGTAGTCGAGTCCCCATTTACGTCAAGCGGGCCCGTCGAGCACTACGTTCATG